TTGACAGGACGCTTAGGGCCACTGCTTAGGGTCTAAGAACAGAAATGTACAACTGGACTTTTGGTTCTAATATAAATTCTTCAGTACAAAAAAATAAAATGATCTAAATTGTCCTTTTAGCAATGGGACTACAGTTCTAGATGGATGGACTTTTGGTTATACATTTCTGATTTAATATCATGGTTTACCATGTTTGCATGTAAAATTGTGTAAATGTCTGGCTGTACTTTTGGAATGATGTACATTTTAAACAATTAATTCAAAGCAATATCAAGGGCATGCATTTTCACACTTTTTTTTTTTACAAACCGAGGGACAACACAAAATTATTTTCAGAGATGTGATTGATAGAACTTTCTGTTAAATTCAAAGCATTCTGTTAATTATTAAATAATCACCAAGACAAACACAGCAGAATATCAGTGGCTTGTGTACTCTGCAAGACTTTTTTTTTTGCTCTTACTGCCCTCTAGTGGCTATGTACTCCAACTCAACCACATCCATTCAACCTATCTAACAACCGTTCCATGTATTTATGCATTTTGCAGAAGCTTTTATCCAGAAAGAGACTTAAATTGCATTCCAGGTACACATTTTTTTTCAGTTCATGCATTCCCTGGCAATCAAACCTATGACCTCAGCATTGCTAGAGCTATGCTCTACTGTTTGTAACGGTAAGCTATCTTTCTATCATAATTAAAAGTTGAATTACCCTACAACTACTTAGCTACATCTCTATAAAAATAATAATAACCTTTCTCAGCTTTGATGAGGCGTTTCCCGATGTCTAGCGTGACATACGCGGTGCCGTTCAGCACTATGTCAGTGATGGTTCTCCAGGCATTGGGGGAAAGCTTCTCTGACGGAGAGATGAAGTTTCCAGCAGCATTGTTTATCACCACCTGTGGGTTGACAGTGCATATCAGAAACAGTTTTGTGTATTTGGCTGAATCTATTGCATCACTGCTGTTAAGATGGAGACCTAAACCTACATCAGGCAGACCGACATCATTGACAAGCTGGTTAACAGCAGCCTCCACTGAAGCAGGGTCTCTAACATTACACTGGACGGCATGGACCTGAAACATGAACACATTTATCAAACTCTAGGAGGATGAAAACAAGTTCTTCACCATAATCTGAATTTGAATTGCTGTAAGAATATGACAATGTTTGCATAGACTTACTAAAGCAGAGGTACCTTGTTTCCTGTCTGTTGTGAGATTTCATCTGCTGTTTTCTTCAAAACATCAAGATTTCTGGAAATGATGTGACGACAGAAGACTTAACACAAATAATCACTCAGATTCAAATTGATTTAAGCTTTTGGCTTTGCTTCTAGGGTGCATTAGCAATTATTCAAGAACTGAAAGACCTATAAAACAAAGTGAAAATGTGTCTGAGGTAAAAATAAGATTTTTTTATGTTTTTGAAAGAAGTCTCTTATGCTCACCAGGATGCATTTATTTGATCAGAATTACAGTAAAAACAATAATAGTATAACAAAAATAACTGTTTCTATATTTGCACGTTTTAAAAAGTAATTTATTCCCGTGAGGGCAAAGCTGAATTTTCAGCAGCAATCACTGCAGTCTTCAGTGTCATATGATCCTTCAGAAATCATTCTAATATGCTGATATGGTGCTCAGGAAACATTTCTTACTATCAATGTTGGACACAATTGTGCTGCTTAATACTTTTTTAAAAAAGTATTACATTTTAAGATAACTAACCTGCTGGCTATCACGCACTCTGCTCCCAGTGAAGACAAAGTGGTGGTCATGGCTTTTCCGAGTCCCGTTCCTCCTCCAGTGATGAAGGCCACTTTGTTTTTGTAAGCTCCTGGGAGAAGCATAACACTTTCAGAAGGTGGGAAGAATCTAGCTTGAGGACCGCTCTGGTATAAAGTGTTTGTCCCATTTCCAAACATCTGTTAAAGGATGCAAAGAGGGTCATTTTGTTTTAATACATGAACTCAGTCAGGAAAAAAATAGTAGCAATTATAAATAGAAACTGGGTCAAAGGTCATAAGGACAATGCCAATGTAAACAATTGCTACTTAAGCTAGAGAATTACTGTATAATTCATGCAATGCGTCTCAAATGAAAAATCAAGTTTGAAAGGCACGATTTTCCCATTCAGTGCACAGTGTGCACATATGACAATTAAAAGAGATCATTTTAACCAAATATAACACTTTACAAGCTATTTAAAATTAAATTCTCTAAAATGCACACTTGAAGTTACAACCTTACATGTTGTATATGGTTTATTTACATAAACGTCCAGGTAAAGAAATTACTTTATATTGGCAGCATTTTATGAGATTTCGAAACTAAATTGTAAATACATACACAAAATCTAAGTGCGCATGGACAACGTTCAATTCTTACTCGTGCTGGTGTGAAACACTTGTTTGGAGAAACTCTATTTAACACCCTCAGCAGCGCCATAGCGTCAAAAGAACAATTATATTTTTTAGAGAGAACGCGTGCTTTAACAATGTCAAAACAGGCAAATAAACAAATAAAAGTCGGACTCAGGAACGCCTCTGACGCATTCTTCTTCTTCATTGGAGTTTTACGGCAGTTGGCATCCATAGTGTTGCATTACTGCCATCTGCTGTCTCACTTCTTCTTCTTCTTCTTCTTGTGTGATTTGCGGCAGCTTAGACGCTTCAAAGGCGTATTGCTGCCCTCCTCAGTTCATCTGAAGAACTCCATCTCATAGATTAAATCCTCAAATAAAGACCAGCGTAAAAAACTTATAACAACATTTGTGCTGTCTCACTTTAACTTACTATATCTTAATTAAATTCGTCCTTCCAGTCCAGTCCTCCTTAGAAAATTAAACAAATATCTCCGTCCTTGGTCATTATTTCCATATGTTACTATATTTTTAACATTATACTCTACTATACCTATTTCCCGTAGCTGATTCTTGAACTCTTGCCTTTCTTGTATATATTTCTTACATGATATAAAGAAAGTGATTAATTGATTCCACCTCCTGACATTCATCACAAAGTCCTGTTGGGTGTTTAGCTTGCAATGTCCAATCCTCAGTCTATTTTTTTATTACTTGTTCCTTCCTTTTATTTCCCTTCTTACTTTCCATACCTATCATATTTTGTATCATGTACAGATGTTTCCCTTTTATATCATTATCCCACTGCTGCTGCCATTTTTGCATAATAATTTTCCACACTAAACTCTTCCTTTCTGATTTTGATAATTTAATTTTGACGTCAACATGTTCTTCTGTTGTTGCTTCTTTTGCCAGTCTGTCTACTTTCTCATTTCCCTGGATGCCCACATGCGCTGGCACCCACATGTATGTGATGTTTTTCCCTTGCCTGCTTATTCTTGAGTTTGAAAATAAAATCTCATAAAGTAATTCCTGATGGTTTATAGTTACCCCAGACTTTATACTCATGAGGGCAGATACAGAATCACTACATATTACAACGTTGTCCCATCTTATTATTATTTTTTTTCTGTTCTCATGTCAGATGTGTATGTATGTACCATGAGCACCTTAAAAAACCACAACAAATTCCTTGTGTGTTTGCACACCTGGCGAATAAAGCTAATTCTGTTTCTGATTCTGATTCTGATCCTGTTGCCTCTGTTTGTAAATCCTTTGATCCATCTGTAAAAATTTGAATACTATCTTTGTACATATTGTCCATATATCTATAATATTCACTGACTATATCTGTACTCCTACTGCTGCCTTTTATTATTAGAAGCTCTATGTCCACCTTTGTATTTTCCATTGTCCAGATTGATTTGTTAGTCCACACCACAGTACTAGCTAATTCTTTGTCATATATGTCCATTTCTTTTGCTATTAAATCTCCTGTCCAGCCAAAACTTTCCTTTCTCCTCCTCTCCCTCTTCTAACAATTCTGTAGCACCTTTTTCGTTGGATGGTTTTCCCCATGCCCTCTTCAATTACTCCAATAGTTGGCTACCAGTTGTTTCCTTTGTAGCCATAGAGGCATTTCACCTGCTTCAACCTGAAGTGCACACACTGGGGAAGTTCTGATTGCCCCAAAACATATTCTTAAAGCTCGTCCCTGCACAACATCCAATTCATTTAACACAGATTTTGCTGCTGACCCATACACAGTACAACCATAATCTAATTTAGACCTTATTAGTGCAATATAAATATATTTCAGAGCTGAAAAACTTGCTCCCCATTCCAATCCTGCAAGACACCTCATTACATTAAGCACTTTTTTACATTTATACACTGTGTACTTTATATGTTCCCTCCATGTTAGTTTTGTGAAAAATATACTCTCAAGAATCTAAAACACTCTACTTTCTCTAAAGTGGTTCAATACATTTCCACCTTGCATTCTTTCGCCTTCTTTTTATTTGTAAAGATCATTACTTTTGTTTTTTCCCACTGAGAACTTAAATCCCCGTTTTGTCTCCCACTCTTCAACTTGATTAATTCCCTTTTGTAATTTCTTGTTTATAAACTCACAATTTCTTCCTCTCTTCCATATAGCTCCATCATCCGCAAATAGGGATCTCCCCATATCCACTGGAAGCGCTGAATTTATACCTCTGACGCATTGAAATGACTCTACAACTAAAGTCCGAAAATCCCGAATGATAGCTTCCGGTTTCCGGTTTGCCGGCTGATCTAGGATCAGAGACGGGAGGCGTTTCATCCAATAGCGTATCGCTAATGAGCGGAGGAACAGATCTCAGATCAGCCAATGGAGACGTACACCTCTGGTTCACTCCTAGGACATAACAAACGAAGCAGCTCTTTTATGTAAATGTCTGTATGTTGTATCGTTCGTATGATTTGACAAGTTTGTTAGTAACGTTCGTTTTAACTTGGGCAAAATGTAGAATGTCATTTTGAGTAAGGTGGGAGGAAACAACTCTTGCTAACCAGTCAGTTAGTTGACAGCGCGCTGGGCTCAAAAGAATCAGGTAAACAGCCGTTTATTTTTACATCAGTGCTGTACATGTATGCCCACATGTATGTGACATAGTCATGCTAACTGCCAACTTATATCGAGCGAAAATTGCAATAATGTAAATATTTGGAGTTTTATGTTTTGTAGCATTGCTAACAGATATGATGCAGCATTTTATGTCTCATGACACTGTATGTGAAGAATATTGTATACTGAATTTGATGATTATCCTAAATATATGACAAAACTTTACATGTATCTACTCCAATTATTAGTAATTATTTTAAGATAAATCAGATTTTTATAATAAACTGCAGAACCATCTGTCTGTCTGTCTGTCTCTCTCTCTCTCTCTCTCTCTCTCTCTCTCTCTCTCTCTCTCGTTTTCTGTTTGCTTAAAGCCGATGCATTAATATGACATTTTTCAAAGATCTTTTTTTCTTTTCTTTTGATAGGTTGTGTGATTGCAGAGTTGTTTACAGAGGGTGTCCCACTCTTCGACCTTTCACAACTGCTGGCTTACCGTAAAGGACATTTCCAAACCGAACAAGTGCTGATGAAAATTGAAGATCGCAGTATTAGAGAGCTGGTAGCTTTTCTATTCTTATGAGATTTTTGATACTGTATATTATTTCAATTTAGCTGTTACAAATGTTTACACTACCATTCAAAAGTTTGGGATTTGTAAGTGTTTCTTGAAAATGTTTTGAATTCTCCTAAGCTTACTGAGACTGCTTTTCTTTGATCAGAAATACAGTAAAAAGCAGTAATATTGTGAAATATTATTACAATTTAAAAAAACTTTTCTATTTTATTATATTTTTTAATTAAATTTATTCCCATGATGGCAAAGATTAATTTTCAGCAGCCAAGCAGCAGCTCTGGTCTTCTGCGTCACAAAATCTTTCAGAAATTATTCTAATATGCAGATTTGGTGCCCAAGAAACATTTATTATTATTATTATTATTATTATTATTATTAATGTTGAAAGGAGTGGTGTAGGTTAATATTTTTGTGGACATTTTTCGGGATTCTTTGATGAATACAAAGTTCAGAAGAACAGAAATAGAAATCTTTTGTAACATTTTGAATGTCTTTACTGTCACTTTTGATCAATTTTATGAGTCCTTGCTGAATAAAAGTATTAATTTCTTTCAAAAAATCTTACTGACCCCAATCCTTTGAATGGTAGTGTGATTTATTTGATACATTATATAATAAACAACACATTTGATAAATAATATGATACTAGTTAGTACTCTTAGTTAGATACTGGGTAGTACTCCGTATAATTTCATCCACTCTATGCAGGTGGCACAAATGGTGCAGCGAGAACCGGAAAAGCGTCTGACAGCTGAAGAATATCTAAAGCAGCAGCGAGGCAAAGCTTTCCCAGAAATCTTCTATACCTTCCTTCAGCCCTATATGGCACAGTTTGCCAAGGAAACCTTCCAGTCTGCTGACGAGAGGGTGTTGGTGATTCGTAAGAACCTGGAGAACATCCTCAATAACCTGTGCAGTGGCGGGCAGACGGGGAAGACTGAAAAACAGGAGAAGGCATCTCAAGAGCTTAGTTCATCCAAGGAGCAAGGGCTGGTGGTGCTGGTGTCAGTGATCACATCCTGTCTTCAGACACTGCGTTTCTGCGACTCCAAGCTGGCAGCGCTGGAGCTGATTCTTCATCTGGCTGGCCGGCTGAATGTGGAGATTGTGCTTGACAGGATTACACCTTACTTACTGCACTTCTGCAATGACTCTATGCCGCGGGTCAGGGCTGAGGCTGTCCGCACACTGACTAAAGTTCTGGCACTGGTCAAGGAGGTTCCTCGCAATGATGTCAGTATCTACCCAGAATACATTTTACCTGGGATTGCGCACTTGGCCCAAGATGAAGCCACAATTGTCAGACTTGCTTATGCAGGTATTCTAGTACTAGAAAATGAATGAATGAATTAATTGTTTCTAAATTGTCTAATCTAAATTGCTGTTTTTATATGTGTTAATAGTTTTCACAATCCAATCTGTCTTTGATTTTAAATAAAACTAAAGAAATTAAATCTTTTAAATTGGAAATTCTTTGATATTTCTTAAGTCACAGAAGTAAAATGGATTGTGAAAGCCATTTTATATTGACTTAAACATATTTATATACTTTAATATCATTCATTATATTATATTACTGTTTAAAAGTATGGGTTCAGTAAGATTTTTTTAAAGAGACAGTTCATACTTTTATTCTGTAAGGATGCATTAAATTGCACAAACGTGACAGCTAATACACTTTTACATTTTGCAATGTAATCTTTTACAGATTACAATTTAAAATATAATATAAAGCAGTTTTAAATTGTAAGAATATTTGAAAATATTACTGTTTTTACTGTATTTTTTATTTAAAAAAAAAGTGCAGCCTGGGTGATCATAAGACATTTTTTGTCAAAAACAAACAAACAAAAAAATCAACCCTAAACATATGAACATTATATTTCATTACATTATATTATATTATATATTATAGAGAACATAGCGCATTTGGCTGAGACAGCACTGCGTTTTCTGGAGCTGGTGCAGGAGAATAATTTGAGCTCCGAACAAGACCTCAATGGGGAGGACACAGAAGAAACGCTTCACCCCAATGAAAACTATGATTCAGGTAAATGTTTGTCCTTCAATAAAATCTCACTTTTATAGTACGCTTAAAAGAAAGTTAAATCCAAATGTAAGATCCCACTTTATGCACTTAATAGACAGCTTGCATGGAAACATTCTAATGCTGTCATTAAAATGCTGTGGATATGATCCATCCCTTGTCTAAAGAGCTGCAGGCCTTGCATGAGATGGTTCAACAGAAGGTGGTGACTTTACTGAGCGACCCTGAGAACATCGTCAAACAGACACTGATGGAGAATGGCATCACGCGCCTCTGCGTGTTCTTTGGCAGGCAGAAAGCCAACGATGTCCTTCTCTCCCACATGATCACCTTCCTCAACGACAAGAATGACTGGCACCTCCGTGGAGCTTTCTTTGACAGCATAGTAGGTAGGTTGCCGTCACATCACTTCATATAATATCAGATAGTCTCTTGCAACATGTTACCAAATCTCCTTCTCCCTGCAGGTGTAGCAGCATATGTGGGCTGGCAGAGTTCCTCCATCCTGAAGCCTCTTCTGCAGCAAGGCCTGAGTGACGCTGAGGAGTTTGTCATTTATAAAGCTCTCAATGCTCTCACTTGCATGTGTCAGCTGGGGCTACTGCAGAAACCTCACATCTACGAGTTTGTCGGTGATATTGGTGAGAGAAATTCTGTACTTTTGTATGCCATTGTATAATGTGCTTCGTAATTGCTCTATATGATTTATTATTTAAAACGTTATTGTCCTACAGCTCCTTTCTTGTGCCACCCCAATCTGTGGATCCGCTATGGAGCTGTGGGTTTCATCACTGTTGTCGCTCAGCACCTAAACATCGCTGACGTCTACTGCAAACTCATGCCCCATCTCAACCCTTTCATCACACAGCCTATTATACAGGTGATTAGTCACAACTACTCTGAATAAAATTCTCCTTTTGCATTTCATGAATGAAAGAAAGTTATACAGGTTTGGAAGGACATGAGGGTGAGTAAATGATGACAATTTTCATATTGGTTTGGTTGAACCCTTTTTGCCTTTGGACAGATTGATAAGGAGATTGTGTTGCTCAGTGTGCTGAAAGAGCCTGTAAGTCGCTCCATCTTTGACTATGCACTGCGTTCCAAAGACATTGGAAGCCTCTTCAGACACCTGTTACTCCGCCAAAAAAAGCGCAATGGCTCCATCCCAGAATGCCCTGTTCCTGAGGATCCCGCAATTGCCCAGCTGCTTAAGAAACTTCTTTCACAGGTCAGGAAAAAAATTAGTTAGTTTCATGTTTTTATTTTTAAAATTACTATTGATTTAATTTTATTTAAGTTTTATTGTCTTCACAAATGTATAAGGCTGCTAGTTCAGATTTCTTTGTGCAAAATAATTTTTAAATGAGGAAATAATTATAATCAAGTTAAGCTGTTATCATGTGATTCCCTTCAGGGAATGACGGAGGCTGAGGAGGACAAGCTCTTAGCTCTGAAAGACTTCATGCTCAAGTCCAACAAGGCCAAAGCCAACATCATAGACCAGAGCCACTTGAGTGATGGAGCCCACAGCGGAGTCATTGATCTCAGTACACTGGGCATCACTGGCCGACAGGTGGACCTCATCAAGCCTAAGCAGGAGCCTGAAGACAAGAGAGGTGAGTGACACACTTTTTGTATTCATATTTACCGTTATTTGAGGATATATTTATGCTTCTCGTGTCATTGGGTCACCATTTGAAATGAATGCATTTTATTTTTATTTGTTTACAGACTTCATCCCTTCTGCCTCTGGTATATTGTTTAGGTCTCATGCAGCTGAGCTCTATTTGAAGTTATAATCACTCGCTTTGACTAACTCAGGTTAACAGGCAGATGTGTGATGTGGATAGATCCACTTTGTTTTGCACGACAGCTCATGTTGGCTAATAATGCTTTTTTTGTTGCAGTCAGTTTGTTACAAACCAGTAGGAGTGTACTTTCAGAGTGCTCAGTATGGCTGCACAATTAATCGAATTTCTAATCGCGCTTACAATTATGGATACCAAAAATACATAATCGTTCAAACTTTGCTTTGAACTTCAAAGTCCACTTATGTTATCCTCCGTGCTTAAGATGTTTTTTTCTTTCTACAGGTTATCTTAAGGGTTTTTCCATGGTTTCAATTTTACTTTTAGTATCACATTATAATACCATTCATATTTTTTTTATTTAAAGAAGAAACTATCCGATGTATAGTTTATATTTGAGGCTTAATACTATAGAAAAGCAATAAACGTTTTTCAGTTGGAGTGTTTTCAGTTTGTTTATTTTCATATAAAAATATGGCATGCAGTTGCTTCAAACAATGGTATAAACAATGTAAATTGTGGTAATTGTAATTAATAAATCGCAATTACAATTTCAAAGGAATAATTGACAATTATGATTTTTGTCATAATCGTGCAGCCCTAGCTGCTGGTGACTAAATTAATTCAGTCATAAAAGGTCATAATTGCCCAGTTATACACTAGCATTGAAAAGTTTTTTTTTTTTGTCTTATTCAGCAAGAATGCATTTAAATTGTCAAGTGACAGTAAAGACATGTTACAGAATATTTCTATTTCATATAATAAATGTGTTATTTTTTTTCAAATGTTAATATCTTAATTGTAAAATTACTGTTTTACTGTATTTTTAATCAAATAAATGCAGGCTTTGTAAGACTTTTCCCAAAAACATTTCAAAGTTTTGCTGATCCCAAACATTTAAATGGTGGTGTATGTAAATTTTTTATTTTCATCGATTTCCTAGTAGCAAAGGAAGCAGAAGGTGGCATCGAAGCAGGGCTCCCAAATATGATGATCAGATATCACTTTGCGAGGGACCCCTTTCCTATGGATAAAGATACTTTTATACTTTATTAGTCCTTACACAATTTTTGAGCTAGTGTGGACAAAAAAAATTGAAGCTGGGCTTGTAAAACTGTAGCTATAGATGAAGTTACAGGTGGTTTAAAATATTCCAGATTTATTTGCTGAGAGTTAATGCTCTCAACATATTGTAGAGTCCCCTAGTGCAGTTCTAGTGCATTTGAGAAGTTTTATTCTGTTTGCTTCTGTTCTATGAAAATATTCACTTTTGGAACTAATTTTAATTTACTTAAGTACTATATGTCACTGTGCTGACTAAATCAATTGCCTGATTTCTTTTACACGTGTCAGTCAGTCCGCATGTTAACACTTTAACTGAGCATCAAATGTTTTAGAAACCAGAAATGCATTTTCTATCAAAACCAGTTTTAAAATGGGTCAATTTTGTTTCTCTTCTGGCAGCTCGCAAACATACGAAACAGGACTCCAACTTGAATGAAGAGTGGAAGAGCATGTTTGGTTCTCTGGACCCTCCCAGCTTGGCGCAGACGCCCTCGACGGTACCTAATGTTCTAGTTCCGAGCGGTGGTGGGGAGCCCAACGGAACTCTGGCCGGAGAGCGCCTGCGATCTGAGAGTTCCTCACAGCCTCTTAACCTCCCTCATGTTCCATCCTCAGCCCAGGTCGACCGCTGAGCCGACAGTGTGCTATCGTCCCTCCCCTGCTCTTTCTCTGCCCTCTCCATTCAGCCTCTTCCATCATCTTTTCTTCATCAACACCTTTTTTAGTGTGCATTTGTCCATGTTGTAGCTTTGTAGTCTGTAAAGGCTTTGAATCATATCAGTCATCTGATATTTTCCATCATGTTTGCACAAACATGCAGGAATGTGCTGGATTTTCCCAGATTAAATGTATTAGCATGTTGTTCCTAAATAATAATGATAAAAGACTAAAATCTTAAACCGCTCCCCATTGCTCTTCATTGCAGATTCCTGAAGGTGGAGCCATGCAGCCCAGGAAAACCACAGCACTCCCTACTATTCAAGTGGTACAGTCTGTAACCGGAGCATCCACATACCAACGGCGCATCACGACATGCAAGGCAGAGCTACAGCAGCTGGTGCAGCAGAAAAGAGAGCAATGCAGTGCAGAGCGCATGGCCAAACAGATGATGGAGAGCGCAGAATGGGAGAGCAGGCCTCCACCACCAGGTACAGTGGTCACATGTCACCTCACTAATACATTATGTGGCTGTCTAGCCTCTGCTTGCTAGATCTTGTACAGAAATCATCTGCAGCTGACCTATTTTTTTTTTCATTTAAAATGGCATTTTAATTTTTAAGTGGAAAATAAAAGTTAAAGTAATTAAAAGCTAAAAGTAACTTTCATGGTTTGTGTAAATGATAAAAAAAAACAGTTTGAATTGTTCTGCAGGATTTTATATTTTTTTTATAATAAAATAGGAAAATGCTGGTTTTCATTGTTTTTTGACTCAGTTATATATTACAGGACAGTGAAATCTCTTGAGATGCACCTGTATATATATATACACATATACACATATACATATATATATACACACACATAAATAAATTATATTGTAATATACTGTAATATAATATATTACAAACTTTTGAATGGTAATGGTAAGTTTGATGTTTTCACCCTAATTGAGGATATCCTAAATATGCTTAAGATCAAATTCTGAATATCATGAAGTTATTTAAAAGATATTGCTGCATTAAGTAACTTTTTGTTAGTGGCTTAGTGTAACTAACTGCTTTTTGAAAAGGGTGGTTTTACTGTGGTTGAACTACTTTAAATGAGTTGATTGAGGTTTTTCTAGCTTGTGTGCCTCACACAGGTTATTTCCACTTTGGTAACTACAGCTGTTACATTGCAGGGTGGCATCCAAAAGGTCTTCTAGTGGCTCATCTCCACGAGCACAAATCTGCCGTGAACCGAATCAGAGTCTCCGATGAGCACTCGATCTTTGCTACATGCTCCAATGATGGAACTGTAAAGATCTGGGACAGCCAGAAAATGGAGGGCAAGACGACCACCACACGGTATATAATATCTATATAATGTCTCTAAATTGTCTAGGTTGTTGTTTTACTGTAATGTGAACTGGGATGATTGAAAATGTGATTGTTTCAGGTCTGTGCTTACGTATTCTCGGATTGGAGGCCATGTGAAAACACTGACCTTTTGTCAGGGGTCACATTACCTTGCTGTCGCATCAGATAATGGTTCCATCCAGCTTCTTGCAGTTGAGGCAAACAAGCCACCCAAATCACCGAAAGTCCAGCCCTGTCAGACCAGGTGTGTGCAGGTCATATACTGTAACTACTTACTCTACTTGTAGCATCCCGAATTTCTGTGCTTCCATACAACGGTACAAATGAGTAAATCAAGACCATCACACTCAGGTCAGTGTCACTCAAGCAGTCAGATCAGTGAGCCACTGAGTCTCTTCCAGGTTCCTGGATCCAAAGGATGAGGGCTGTGCGGTGGATGTACATCACTTTAACTCGGGGGCGCAGACGGTTCTGGCCTATGCCACTGTGAATGGCTTTTTGGTGGGTTGGGACCTCCGCAGCAATAGTAATGCCTGGGCCCTCCGCCATGACCTGCGCCTAGGCCTCATCACTTCCTTTGCTGTGGACATGCACCAGTGTTGGCTGTGTGTGGGTAAGAGTGCATCGTGTAGGTGGTGTACAAGCAAGTGAACCGGAAGTGTGTGCCAATCAAAACCCAAATTACAGAAGAATGTTTTCAGCAAATTCTTGTTTTATGATAGTGATTGATAAACTAGGTTTGCTCTCTCAAGCTGGGACTTATTTCATGTCCTACTGACATAGGCACAAGTAATGGCACAATGGCATGCTGGGATATGCGGTTTCAGTTACCAATTTCCAGCCACTCCCACCCAGCCCGAGCTCGAATCAGACGCCTGCTGATGCATCCACTCTACCAGTCCTCTGTCATTGCAGGTGAAAAGTCTCTTATGCTTACCAAGGCTGCATTTATTTGATCAAAAATACAGTAAATATAATATTTAAAAAATATTATTATAATTTGAACAGCAATATTTTGAAATATTATAGTTTAAAATAACTGTTTTCTGTTTTAACATTTTAAAATGTAATGTATTCCTGTGATGGAAAGCTGAATTTTCAGCAGCCATTACTCCAGTCTTCAGTCTCACATGATCCTTAAGAAACCTTTCTAATATGCTAATTTGATGCTCAAGAAACATTTCTGATTATCAATGTTGAAAACAGTTGTTCTGATGAATAGAAAGTTTAAAAGAACAGTAGTTGAATTTTTTTATAATTACACATCTTTACTGTCACTTTTGAGGAATTTAATGTAACCTTTCAGAATAAAAATCTTACAGCGATGGCGCCGGAGACGGCAGCCTCAGTGTTTGGCTCTCCAGTGTTTGTATTGTTTTTGTTAGTTTTTCCTGTTTTTTGTTTCTCAAACACGATCAGTTTTACCAGGGATGAGCTGCTGAACATTCGGCAGAACACACCACACAATCATCTACCGGATTTCGTTTATTCGGACGTTTTGCTGAACGTTGTAGTCGGTGGAGCTGCTGCGCTGATCAAGCGCTTCAGGACGCGCAGACGAGGGAAGCGAGCCGGCAATAAAGCTCTTTCTGATTCTGATTCTAAAAGTATTAATTTATTTTTTAAAAATTAAAAAAAAGATTATAAATATATAAAATAGAGTATGTTCATAAAGGGTTTTCTCATTCTCTTCAGCTGTCCAAGGTAACAATGAGGTGTCCATGTGGGACATGGAGACTGGAGACAGGAAGTTCACCCTGTGGGCTAGCTCTGCCCCTCCGCTTTCAGAGATGCAGGTATGTTGTCACTTTTGCATCACAATACAAGTTCACAATAATGAATAAATTCAATCAGACCTACAATACCGGTCAAGAGTTTGGGATCAGAACGATTTTTTATGTTTTTTACAGGAGTTTCTTATGCTCATCAAGGCTGCATTTATTTGATCAAAAATACATGAAAAAATGTAATATTGTGAAATATTATTATGATGGAAAATAACGTTTTTCTATTTTAATATACATTAAAATCTAATTTATTCCTGTGATGCAAAGCTGAATTTTCAGCATCATTACTCCAGTCTTCAGTGTCACATGATCCTTCAGAAATTATTCTAATATGCTGATTTATTATCAGTGCTGGAAACTGTTGTGCTGCTTAATATTTTTTTTGGAACTGGTGATACTTTTTTTCAGGATTCTTTGATGAAGAGCATTTATTTAAAATAGAAATCTTTTCTAACAATATACACTACAGTTCAAAAGTTTGGTGTCAGTAAATTTGTATTCTTTCTTTTTTTGAAAGAAATTAAACTGTTTATTCAGTAAGGCTGTGTTAAATTGTTAAGAAGTGATAGCAAAGATTTATATTGTTAGAAAAGATTTAGGTCAAAAGTTTGGGATCAGAACAATTTTTAATGTTTATGTTTTTTACAGGAGTTTCTTATGCTCATCAAGGCTGCATTTATTTGATCAAAAATACATGAAAAAATGTAATATTGTGAAATATTATTATGATGGAAAATAACGTTTTTCTATTTTAATATACATTAAAATCTAATTTATTCCTGTGATGCAAAGCTGAATTTTCAGCATCATTACTCCAGTCTTCAGTGTCACATGATCCTTCAGAAATTATTCTAATATGCTGATTTATTATCAGTGCTGGAAACTGTTGTGCTGCTTAATATTTTTTTTGGAACTGGTGATACTTTTTTTCAGGATTCTTTGATGAAGAGCATTTATTTAAAATAGAAATCTTTTCTAACAATATACACTACAGTTCAAAAGTTTGGTGTCAGTAAATTTGTATTCTTTCTTTTTTTGAAAGAAATTAAACTGTTTATTCAGTAAGGCTGTGTTAAATTGTTAAGAAGTGATAGCAAAGATTTATATTGTTAGAAAAGATTTATATTTTGAATAAATGCTGTTCTTTTTAACTTTTTATTCATCGAAGAATCCTGAAAAAAGTATCGCAGTTTCCCAAAAAATATTTGGCAGCACAACTGTTGCCAACATTGATAATTCTAATAATAAATCAGCATATTAGAATGATTTCTTAAGGATCATGTGACACTTTATACTGGAGTAATGGCTGATGGAAATTCAGCTTTGCATCTCAGAAATAAATAATATTTTAAAGGATATTAAAATAGAAACCATTATATTATATTTTTAATAACATTTTGCAAGATTACTGTTTTTTCTGTATTTTTTATCAAATAAATGCAGCCTTGATGAGCAAGAGACATCTTTAAAAAACATTACAAGTCTTATTGATCCCAAACTTTTGACCGGTAGTGTACCTTCTGTCATTACACTGGAATCTGTTGTCCTCCACAGCCCTCTCCTCATAGTGTTCATGGGATATACTGCAGCCCTGCTGATGGCAACCCTCTCCTACTTACAGCTGGATCTGACATGAGAATCAGGTGTGGCTAATTAGCAAACGAATCACTGTTGAGGTGTGCTGATTTAACAGGTTAGAAGGCATCAAGGCTTGATCGAATCCAATCTGTTTACAAATATTACGTCCACATTAATATGTGAAATATTTTATTATTAATTAATTAAATTATTTTATTTTATTATTTTATTATTATTCCATGTATGGTGTGTTTTCAGATATTTTATTCTGTGGACGTAGCCTACGATTTTTTTAAAGACACCTCAGATATGTATCCTTGGCCACCTATGATATCCCACAATCCTGTGCAGTTTAATGTAAATCAGTTAATTTTTTTTTTCAACTCCTGAACAATTTTCAACTTTTTTTCCTCCATAAAGTCATCAAATATATCCAAAGCTCAGCTGAATTTGTTTTAGATGGTACATCTATACAAAATCAGCTGGCTTCAGATTCGGACACAACCAAGTAAATATCATAAAGCTGGGTGCAAAAGTTTTACATCCCAAGATTATGAGGGCATGTGCAGATTGCGTTCTGTATGATATCTGCAGGTTTTGGGATTTGGCCTACCCTGAGAGGTCATACATCGTTGCAGGCGGTGCAAACGACTCTCTTCACTGCCCTTCTGTGTTCTACAACCGCAAGATCATAGAAGGAACAGAAGTAGTACAGGTCTGAAGCTCATTTCCATCTGATTTTCTGTTTTCTGCACATTTATATTTAGCTGATCTTCACTTCCATCTCCCTTCAACCTCACCAGGAGATCCACAGTAAACAGAAGAGCGGATCCACTGAGGACACGCCTCGCCGGGGCCCAGAATCCCTTCCTGTGGGTCACCATGACATTATTACTGATATTGCGACTTTCCAGACCACCCAGGGCTTTATAGTCACCTCCTCTAGAGATGGCATTGTCAAAGTCTGGAAGTGAGAGACACACTGTGCCAAGATGGGACACCGTTTGTATGAACGTCCGATCAAGTGCACTGTAAATTTAGATATAATGCCAATTAATATAATGAAGTCATTTAGGATCAAATCCATTTTCAAAAAATGAAATGTAACTATACTAAACAGTGAAAGCCAACAGTGTGTGTGTGCAGTTTGCTTTGTATGTTTTTGTTTTTCTGTGCAACTGCTTTATGTGGATATCAAGGTCATAGAATATGACCACACTGCAGAAAACAGGACATGGTGTGGTAAAACAGTGTTTCACACAGTAGTTAGTTACACTTAGTGTTATTTCTGCACAGCTGAACCCATGTAGTTTTGTTTCGAGGCCGAAGTGCAAGACATGGATGGGGATGAAACTTCCATTATAATCACTGTGTAATAGTTAATGATATTACTGAATAAATGTAATGATAAATATGTATTTGATTTTTTTTTTGTTATGTCAGATTACATAAGTAAAATAGGTTGTGAGCAGTTTTTTTTTTTTTTTTTTTTTCATTTTTAAAGTTTAAAAAATGCACAGACTTTAACAAATGTGTAATTATTGAAAACATTTTAATCAAAACGGTATCAAAAATGTTATTGCACATTACTAGTGCTGTCTCAGAACATCTTCACTGAAAAACTTCATATACATTAACATTTTAATCTACACACAATGTGAGAAGTTTCTGCCACGTGATAAAAAACTAAAAAGATAATTGTGACTTTTTATTTCACAAATCAGACTTACAATACAAAAATATAAACTTGTAATTCTGAGTAAAGTCAGAATTGTGAAAGAACTCAATTCTGAGTTTATATCTCACATTTGTTTTTTTGTTTCCACAGAAAAAAGTATGAAAGATAATTGTAAGCAGTTTTTTTTTTTTTTTTTTACAATTTTTAAAGTTTAAAAAATGCACAGACTTTAACAAATGTGTAATTATTGAAAACATTTTAATCAAAACGGTATCAAAAATGTTATTGCACATTACTAGTGCTGTCTCAGAACATCTTCACTGAAAAACTTCATATACATTAACATTTTAATCTACACACAATGTGAGAAGTTTCTGCCACGTGATAAAAAACTAAAAAGATAATTGTGACTTTTTATTTCACAAATCAGACTTACAATACAAAAATATAAACTTGTAATTCTGAGTAAAGTCAGAATTGTGAAAGAACTCAATTCTGAGTTTATATCTCACATTTGTTTTTTTGTTTCCACAGAAAAAAGTATGAAAGATAATTGTAACTTTTTATTTCAAGTTTTTTTTTTTTTAAGAATTTTGAGGAAAAGATGCATAATTGTGAGATATAACCTAAGAATTGTGAAAGAAAAAGTATGAATTTTGAGATAAAAAGCCAAATTTACCTTTTATATCCCTTGGCGGAAACAGGAAAGCTTCCATACTTAGCTAATCATAAAAGCACTATGAATATAAAAAATTTATACTTATTTGCTTTTGTGTTGGGATTATGTGCTTCTTTAGTTGTAAAACCTGCACAAATATAATTTTCTAGCTCAGAGAGAATGATTGCTAAATATGAGGGTGAAGGAAGTCTTTGCTCAAAAGTATCATTTGGAAAGTCATCCTGGTTAAATGTGTCTTACACAAAGGGCTTCACATTCCTCCTGCGTGTTAAACCTGTTTTTGTTTCCTCCACATCCTCCAAACCAGAAGTGAATGCATTCATTCTGCTGGATGTCATACTGCCAGCTTAAAACGTAGTCACTGCAGGGCCCCACATCCTGTTTCATGAGGCATGCATCTGTGAGTGGAAACATCAGGAAAGAGTTTGGTCGAGGAAACACTTCAGGCGATATTGCCATATCAAATCCTTTTACTGTATTTACAGAGAGAAGCTCTGTAACAAGCAGTTACAAAGGAGGCCAATTTCTCACCATTCACTAACGCCGTTTCCTCTTTTGCCTGCACGATTACTTCAGGATCTGGAGATTGAATAAAGAACAAAAATGTTTCAGCAGTTGTTTTATATTGAAAAGTACCTTTTGTGATCTTTGATTTCTTAAAGGTGCAGTTTGTCATTTCCATGCCACTAGAGGCACCAAACAGAATTACAATTTGTTCAGGACTTGACATACAGTAGTAACCAGTGGTTTGTGTTTTGGGTACACAAAAATACACATTAAACTAGACTAATCTGTTTTGCTGGTCTTAGGTATGTTGGGCTAGATTTAGAGGGGTTCTGGGCAACTTTTCAGTTATTCAGGCTGAGGACATTTTCTAGTTCAGTTGTAAAAATACAATTGAAATCTCTCTTGTTATTATATACGAATTACAAAATGGGGACAATACATTTTTGTAACAATTATTCTACAGTAGCTGATGGTCAGTTTGCCCAGGCTGGAACCCCAGCTTAAACTAAAAAAAGCTCCGTTCACATTTTCTTATAAAATCGAGTTATTTTTGCAACTTGGTTTGGTGCTGCTAGTGACAGAAATTAAACAATTAAGCATCTTATATTCAAGGTTAGGTTACATTCAACTATATGTACTTTAATAGCAAAGCATATTTACAATGATTTATGAGACACTGCACAAAGGACTTACTTTGTTTGCCACAGGTCTGAAGGCATTCCTTTTCTGAATTAAAACGGTTACTATTACCATCACAACCCCCGTACCAGAAGGGTAAACATGCACCGACTGCTTCATTATAGTACCAGCGCAGCTCATATCCACCACAGACGGTGCCACGGTCACTGTTCAGGTGACACAGATCTGAAAGCAAAACACTTATTTACTAATAAGCCATGCAGAGGATGCTGTTACGTAATTTAAATGAACAACTTTTAAACAAAACTGCTTTTGTTTAAAGTGAAGTATAGTTTCTGTCCTTTTTGTTGCATATGTTTAAGCACTAGAGGCACTGTGATTTGAGCAGAGATTTGTAAGGAAGTACTGTCTGTGCGGTCAATCAGAAACTCGGCTGCTGAGACTCCACGGCCCGAGTTCTGCTGGTATTTAGTCTCCTCTGCAGTGCCTTCTTCCTCCATTTCCTCTTTAACCGCTGCATCTGGGTAAGCAGTGGACGGCACAGGAACACTAGGAAATAGCATTTGTTTTGACACTGGGCTGAAATGGATATTCACACAGAGCTGCACCACTTTTGCGCAAAGTGTTTTAACGCACACACACACACAAAAAATTATAAATATAGATATGAATAAAATAAATACATTTATAAATCGTAGATTTATTTTAATAACCTGCGTCTTCTTTCTATGTTAATTATATTAATTATAAACAAATCTATATAAATATATTAAAAAAATATATATTTATTTATGGTTTATTTTTATTAACCTGCCTCTTAATATGAGGCTGCCTCCTTTACATGAAAATAGATATTTTTTATGTAAATAAAATAAATACATGTACTTATTTATTGCAGGTTTATTAACCTGCATCGTTTTAAATATGCACCTGCCTCCTATGTAAATTATATTTTATATAAATAACATTCACTATAAATAAATTTCTATATAAATAAAAAAACGAATATATTTATTTCAGATTTTATTAACTTGGATCTTAATAAGCACCTGCCTTTCTATATAAATAAATACATTTATATATAAATAAATGTACTTAAGGTTTTAAGCTGCATCTTATTATATAAGTACCTGCCATGTTTTTATGCAAATTAATCAATTAATTAATCCATTCATTCATTCATTGCAGGTTTATTAAAGGAATAGTTCATCCAAAAATGAAAATTCTGTCATAAATTACTCACCCTCATGTCAAACACAAATTAAGATATTTTTGATGAAATCCGAGAGCTTTCTGTCCCTGCATAGACAACAAGGGAACTACCATGTACAAGGCCCAGAAAGGTAGTAAGGACATCGACAAAATAGTCCATGTGACATCAGTGGCTCATCTGTAATTTTATGAAGCTATGAGAATACTTTTTGTGTGCAAAGAAAACAAAAATAACAACATGAGGGTGAGTAATTAATGACAGAATTATCATTTTTGGGTGAACTATCCCTTTAACCTGCATCTTACTAACCTGCACTTTTCTATGTAAATAACATGGATTATATGTAAATTACATTCACTATAAATAAATGTATATATGAATAAACAAATATATGTAAGTATTTATTTACTGCCATTGCAGGTTTATTAACCTGCAGCTTATTAAATAAGCACCTGCCTCCTTACTATGTAACTAAATAAATAAACAGTGATCAATGTTCAGAGTTACTGCTATGACCTCAAACTAAACAGATATTTCACATTAAATGACAACAGATCAGATTTTGTCAGTTGATACCTATATACAGGTCTCTCTGCAGCCTCGTATTCCAAACGCTGACCTTGATGAAAATTACTACACTGACTCTGGAATGATCGATGAGGGTAGGAGTTCACATTTTCTGCAATCACAAATAAACTATATTAACATACACAAGTCCTTCAAGATGAACAAAGCTATGCAAAGCCGTCCTTAAAGGGATAATTCACCCTCGTGGTCATTTCTGTGACTTTCATGGTGTTTTTTTGTGCTTTGAGTGTCATCAGTGTGAGCATATTTTCACTGGGTGAACTATCCCAAAGTTTAAGTCCTCAAATCTGTATTAAAGGTCATGAAGCATTCCTTACTGCTCAGAATGTGAAAGAACGTTCTCACGAAGTGCTGTGTGTACTCCTGTTCTCCATGTTTCAAGTGGTCCAGGTGAATGATGTGCTGTTCTGAGGGTTAGCTGGCAAGCTTCTCCACCTGAGCAGTGCTGATGTGGTCACCCACCGTCAGGGCAAAGAAAACAACACCCTTGCATTTTGCCGTTCTGTCCTGAGATGTCATCTCCCCGCCAATAATGGCCAGCACCATCTTGTTCTTGCGACCGTCAGAAGCTGTGAGGACACCCTTCATTATGGCATATTCTAACGCAAGACCCAGTCGGGAAGAGCCTCCGGTTTGCTGTAGATCCTGGTAGATGCTTCTCTTCATTAGACTGCGATCTGGGAACTGTTGGAAGTCGAATATCACTTTCACACAGGATTGGGCTTCACTGTATGTGGAGCTCTGCTGGTAGACGGCCACTCTCGCACGTCTGTTGGCCCTGTTGGGTTGACTGCTCACAACGATCTGATCGAGCACACTACCGAGCACTTCCTTCACACCCTCGTACTCGTCAGCCAGCATGCCTCGGGAGCCGTCCATAATCATTGCCAAGTCCATGTCCAACTCCTGAGGAGCAGTTGCCAGGTTGGTGCCCTCACATTCTCTAACTGGTTTGCAGGGATCTTAGAAGAGAAAGAGTGCAGATATGATCACAAACAAACTATGGCCACAGACCTCCATAGGAAGATCTGCAGAAATCAAACACCCATCATTCATAACACTACACATTCCACATTGTACTTGCAATGTGTAGAACACTCTACACATTGCAAATACTTTTATTTTAGTTTTTATTATTATTATTATTATCAAA